GGCTATAGATGCCAGCGTGGTGCTACCGCCATCTTATCATCTTTTCTTAATCCCTTAATTCATGAATCCCAATCCTAATATCGGTGACGACGACAACAACGACGGTAGTGACGGCGACGGTAGCTTACAAAATATTGAAATAAACTAGGGTTTGTAAATTTTCTAAATTTATATTTGATCTAATTTAATTAAAATAAAAGTATAAAAATTATTTTTTTAGAAATATTGTATTTTAATTTTTAACTAAATTATAATTATACGTTTAGTACTTTGTGATTTAACGTTTTATAATTTAACTTATTAATGTTCACGTTTACCATGTTCATCTATGCTCGACGTGCATTGTAGAATTTTTATTTTACGTGTTTTGTAATGTAAAGTTCATGTCATTGACAATGACGAAACTCAACGCTATTTTTTCAGGAGGTCATTTTTCAAATAAATTATATATATATATATATATATATATATATATATATATATATCATATTAATAAAATAAAATTTTATAAATTCTTAAAATTCATCTATTCACGTAAAAATTTAAAGAAACAAAATTGATTTAACTTTTTTTTTGTTTGCCCATGATTTCAAACAATCTATAACATATAACTATAAAAATATATCAATTTAATTTTATAGTAAATTCACATAATATACAAATTTAATCAATAAATTTTAAAATTTATATTTATATAATCAGAAGGTATTTTAAAATATTTTCATATATATACTTAAATGTGTGTTTGATTTTTTATTTTCAGAGATAAAAATTCATAAACCCACATACTAAATATAGATATTTAAAACAAAACCATAAATATAATTAAATTGAAAAATATCTTTAAAAAAATACCTTCAACTAAATTAAAATTCTTGATAACTTAATTTAAATTCTCACCTCAAATAAGATGAACAACCAAACAAGTAAAAACACAAATTTTCTTTTGTATCTTGTATTAAAAATAACAAACAAAAAATAAATTTTCATTTATTTAAAAATAAAACCATAATACAAAAATTTCACTATTTTTAATAAATTATATTTAAATGATTTCTAAATTTTAAAATATTTTACATATTTTGTGAAGTAATTAAATTTAATAAATTATTTTATATATATATATATATGTCATTACGTTTTTAATTGCAGGTATCAAATTAAAATTAAATAATATGAATAATTTTTAAAGAAAAAAAATTAGAAACTAAAATGGAACAAAAGTGATAGCTTAGGCCTTAAACGTGAAGTTTACCGTAATTAAATTCATTTGCAAACTGAATATAAGTTAGGCTTGGTGTTTTGACTGCCTAACATCCGAAGGGTAAAGCGAAGGAATTTTCCACGGCGACTCTGTTTAGAAAGGCCCTTGGAAGTTCAAATATCTTCCCTGCTTATCCCACTTAAAGTAAACCAGAATCTAGCAAGGTGTGAAGAAATGCAAAACCAGAGAGGACATGCTCATGTCTTGGTGGTCACCTACCCTGCCCAAGGCCACATCAATCCTCTTGTCCAGTTCTCTAAACGTTTAACCTCCAAAGGAGTGAAGGCCACCATAGCGACCACCCCTTACACCATCGGCTCCATCAACGTAAACAGTGCGATAGCCGTCGAGCCAATCTCCGATGGCTTCGATGAAGGAGGGTTCAACCAAGCTCCAACTCTAGAAGCCTACTTGGACTCCTTCAAAACTGCCGGGTCTAAAACTTTGGCAGAGCTGATAATTAAGCTCAAAAACTCAGGGTTACCCGTCTGTTGTGTTGTGTATGATTCGTTACTGTCTTGGGCTCTCGGTGTAGCCAAGGGATTCGGCATCCCTGCAGCTATAATGTTGACGAACTCGGCTACGGCATGCTCGTTTTATTGGCAAATCAATCGAGGAGACTTGACTTTGCCTGTGGAACAAGAAACCTTAGCAGCCCCGATGACGCATGGCTTGCCGTCCGTCGAACATCTCCGATCTGCCGAGTTTTCTTGCTCAGCCGACGAATCAATCTGCTTATTTGGCACTGATCTTGGAAAATCTTGGCACTCTGGATGAGAATGATTGGGTTTTCTGTAACTCCTTCGAGGAGCTGGAAAGTGAGGTAATTCTGAATTTTTCTTTACAAGATCATCAAGTTCCTTTTCTCATTTTCTTGGCTGCTTATTTTTCTTTGAAAAAGCTAGTGGAGGCTTTGAGGGCGGAGTGGCCTGTGGTAACGATCGGTCCCATGGTGCCATCATTCTACTTGGATCGTCAAATCGAAGGAGATACAAGCTATGCAGCTAGCCTGTGGAACCATGATAATGATCAGTGCCTCAAATGGCTGGACTCAAAGCCATTAAAGTCAGCGGTGTATGTATCATTTGGAAGCATGGCGTGCATTTCAACTGATCAGTTTCAGGAAGTAGCATGGGGCTTGAAAGCAAGCAATATGCCCTTCTTGTGGGTAGTGAAGGAATTCAAAGACCACTGGTTGCTCAAGTTCATCGACTCGATCGGAGAAACAGGGCTAATTGTTACATGGTGCAACCAACTAGAGGTGTTGGCTCACCAACCACCTAGGCATCCCGATGGTGGGTGTGCCACAGTGGAGTGACCAGCCAACTAATTCCAAGTTCTTAGCGGATGTATGGAAGGTAGGTGTGAGAGCAAAAGTAAACCGTAATCATGAGGGAGGAACTCATGAAGTGTTTAACGGAAGTGATGACTGGAGAAAGAAGCGGAGAGATTAGGAGTAAAGCATCGAAGTGGAGGGAGCTTGCTAAAGAGGCTGTTAGCGCAGGTGGGACCTCAGATAAGAACATTGAGGAGTTTATTGCAAAGCTACCAAATCCTCAAGTGTAAGTGCTAAAGAGAAGAAAGCATGATTCTATCATTTGATAATTACCATGCGATCCTTCAGCTCTTTGATGCACGTCACTAATATTTATTAATAAAAGATATATTCTACAAGAGTATATTCAATTAAATCAAATTTCCAGCAGATAGTGTTACACATTCCAGGCTTTTAACTGATAGCTTTCATGAAATTTCGCAAATGAAACTTGTATGACAATCTTTGAAACCATAGAACAAAGTGTAACTCACAGTAAATTGAGCCTGAACACCGTGAAGATGTTCTTGTTTCCACGAATCGGGGAATACAAATGGAAAGGACTTCGTCTCAACGTGTCAAATACCGGTTATGGAATCAAGGAAACCACGAATACTTTATCACCCTCTTATGTACCAAAAGTAAAACCTACAAAAAGAAGAAAAAGAGATTACAATTTACAGCAAATAAATTGATCTCGACCCTTGTTGAAAGACCACTACACCAGGAGTCAAACTGTGAGTTTATTACAGAAAATAAGATACGAAGGAGTGTTGGAAACATAGAGATATAGCCAGATCGAAGCGCGGATTAAATGAGTCCACCATAACGGAACAATTCAAGAATCCAACCAACATGGGCAAGAATTCTTCTTTGTAATCCAAAGAACAAAGAATTTTTCTTATATATATTCATTATAATGTTGATTCCGGCCATCACTTTCTGGTAGGTATGTATTTGATGTTCTGAACCAAACGGAATAGATTAAGCTATGGTAGACATAAACATGTTTGATGCAGTAAAACAAAATTTTGGAAGTCGGATTTAATCGTAATTAGTTTGTATCGGTGGATCTTTACTATCTGCAGCAGGAATCTTTCGAACATTATAGACTCATCTTGATCAATAGTTGTTGCAGAAATATTGAGGACTGGAATATCACCAACCTGAAAATATTTGACACCATCATCCATAAGTTATAAAACCGCAGTTCACAATCTTTTTCAGCTTCTATTTCGTGGTCTATTTTGACAACAGTCTTCATATTTTTGTACCCGTTTTCAGGCATCCAACATCTACGATAACATTGTAACTGAAACAAATCAAATCGATAACCATTTGTATCATTGCTAGTTGAGGCATATGCACATTAGCAATGCAGTTCTTTCATCCTATCAAATGCCTCTCCCTTGAGTACACCGTGAAACAGATTCTAAGAGGAATGGTAGCATGTGAAAGTGATAGTTATAGATGTAACATTTACCAACCTAAGAGAGCTAAGAATTATGGAATTGTTTAAAACTATGGATCTCATATACAATCAAACCAGTTTGAGTTGTGAAAACAAAACCTGAAATCAAGAAATTGTAAACAACAAAGACTATTATGAACCAAATGACCTTACAAAACAAAACAACACTACCGAAAATAAAGATTGGCCAAGAAATTTACTTGCTTCATAAACTCCTTTAGGACACTTTGGTAACAATTCACACATACTGCGGCCGGAACTTCTACACTCAACCTTACCTACAAAAAAAACGTTCAAATAATCAATACAATAAAGAAAACAAGAATTAATGTTTCAATAAACAGTGAAAACGAAATGATAATAAGAAACACCAAAGACTTCAAATCATGAAAATATTAATAAAACAAACCACCAAAATCTTACTCTTGAATTAGGCTCTGGAGCCTCAGTGACCTTTTATATCAGTTGGAAGCTTATCTGTTTCGACTCCGAAAGTTGCTGATGAGATGATTTCGGCCGTTGAATCGGCTGAATTTGGCGGGAAAAGAAGAGAGTCGATTAAGAGGACAATTCATTTATTCAAGGGTCTTTCTTGGACATTGCTATTGAATTGGAGAATAGGGTTTACAAAAGAAAGAGAAATGGAGTTTCTGGGAACAAAAAGATGGGTGTTTTGGTTTAAACCGAGGAGCTTTATGGAGTTAATACGGACCTCCATTGTTAGTTGCTGTGTGTAAAGCTTGAAGCTTTTGGCTGTTGAAGGTGAAGTCTTGAACTTTGTTGTGCAGATATTTATTTTGATAATTATTTTCAATGAAATGAACGGTGCGTTTCATTAATTAAAAATTAAATCTTTAAAGACCATTTTATGTTGGTTTAATTGCTTAACACTTTAGACTTTATTAATTATTATTACCGCCTAAAGAACAACGACATAACTAAACCGACGCCGTTCTCGTACAAAGTTTGATTATTCGTCTTAAATCTCTGCCTCGTCTGTTTTTAATTACAGAAACCGAACCCAACATCTACAACTGTACAAAACGAACTTAACACTTTCGCCTTCACTCTAAAAAATCTCTCCTTTTTTTTCCCTCTCTGTGGGTTACAGCAGCTGATAAGCATCTCGAGACTTGGAATATCGAAATGGAAGGAGTGGGCTCCACCAGACTTGGCCGAGCTTCAGCTCGTTACGGTGGTTCGACGGCGGTGTTTAATGGTCCGGTGAGGAAGTGGAAGAAGAAGTGGGTTCACGTGTCGCCTTCATCCACCGCTAAACACTCTCAGTCCAACGGGAACGGTTCCACAGCTTCCAGCATCCTACTCTGTAGGTGGGCCCCACTTTCCTTTGCTGATTCCGGGTCCTCCGCGGTCGACGGCGAGGTCGAGGAGCAGCATCCCCCAAAGCGCAAGTTCCGCTATACCCCCGTAAGTGTTTAAAAGTTACGTACAAGTATATACGTATGTGTCCGAGTATAAAGCTTTGTATCCCTTTTCTTTGGTTTTAGCTAGGGTTTTTGCTCGATGATTATTTTCATTCTCGTAGTTTTGATTAATTTGGAGCTAAACCATCACCTGTTTGCCCAGTTCGTCGTGGATCAAGAAATCAAGCATGAGACTGAATTTCCAATATAGTTTAAAAATGGGGTTTTCCTTTCATTAATTTGTTTGTTTTGCTCGAGTATATGTACTTTTATTTTGTTAAAAATGATTGTTGATTGCCATTTTTGCAGGTTGTTGTGGTAGAGGAAGAGCGGAAAAAGGCGGCTGCAAAACAGGTTGAAGATGAAGCTAAGACAGATGATAATAAGATCAAGCAATCCCCAGATTTGCTGTCATCTAAGACTGGTAACGAGCTGGACATGAATAATCTTTTAAAGAACGAAATTCAGGTAACACAAGTTCTGTTCAAAGTATCTTACTTGCATTTGGAAGTAAGAAATAACTGCAATAGGACCCCTTCAAAGGAGAATAAGAAACCTGTCATGGTTTCTGGAAGTACATTGTTAAATATTTGAAACTTCAGGGTCATCCGATGATGGCCTGCACTGTGCTTGGTTGAGGTTACAGACATCATCTAGCTCAAAGTTGAAGACTGGATGAAAATAAGATTTTTCTGCTTTTCTTTTTGTAGGATTCGAACAAAGGCAATTTGAACTTAGTTTTGTGCTTGAAAGGCCATGATGGCAGCCAAAATTCTGTTGGCACAAGCCTCGGTCGGGAGAAGGCAGCAAGCTCGATGGGATTTTGGTCGATCGGTTGACATTTAATCAGTTATGGAACAGGGTTCACGTGCCTAAAAGAATTCGCAAATTTGATTACTCCATAATAATAATGGATCATATATCGTAGTTGTGATAGTAGGTATATACTTGCATATGCTCGATCATAGTACTAATAGTATTTGGTCAAATAATCGTGTGCGGTGTATATTCGAGCTATAGCAATTGTTTGAACCATGGCTAACTTTGTGATTGCAGTTATTATACGGAGTATAGAACCCATGTGGATTATGCTTTATGATGGCAATATAACCTAAAAGCTTAACCCTCTTGTGGCATCTTCCATCGAGTATTGAAACAGGAAATTTATGAGCAAAAGTGTAGATCGAGAAAAGGAAGTTTTCAAAGATGAATCTTAACATGAGAAGTGAAAAATCCATCATGCATGTAACTCTAATCACATAGACCAAGTTTTTAAAAAATTTCCAGGACAACTCTACCTAGATTTAGCATCAAGCATCAGAGCCTTTGTTACTTGTGTTATTCTCAGCTGCATCGTTATCAAACGCTTTGAGTAACTCCAACCTTAGTTCGTCGAATAACTCAATCATACAGCATGTATACTGCCTGTAATAATACATGACGGGAGGAGATACCGGTTAGGCTGTTGAAAGCGAATTCTGTAATTAAAAAAAAAGAAATTCAGGTACTTGGAATACTGCATTGTGCATGTTCGGATCAAATGGTTCATTTCTAGGATTGAATTTTTTGACTTCAAACTTTCTAAATGCCTGAAAGCAAAACATTTCTAGCTGGTTTGTAGCCATTTTAATATGATGCAGAGAACAAACATTGTCAAGAGTGACAAGCGAAAACCTGCGAAATTTAATAAGCAAATGACTGCGTATAACAACTTCTCAGATGAATCTGCCATAGTTCAAGAGATTTTAGTTTTGCTAATTTTGCCCCTTTACAAAGGAACAAATGTCGAAATTGAACCTGCTAATTCACGTGTTGGAGGTTAGAAACTCTTAACAACTCGGCTTCATTTGAACAAAAGTCATAGAATTACCTCTCCAAACTGTTTCCCCATCATTTCAACTCCTAGAAGTGTCTTAAGGAGAGGTACAGCTCCGGCAGTGTCATCGATCTTAGAGAAACTGCCTTTAACATGTGCAGAACCCCTTCCTAAATCGTTTGCAGCATCTAATAGGTCCTTTGCTAAGTTCTGCAACACATTGAGAAATGATTACTGTCACTTTCATAGATCCCAACTACAACAGAAATCAAGTGGTATTGTTCTAAAACACATAGAGAAATGATTACTATCACTTTCATAGATCCCAAATGCAACAGAAATCAAGAGGTATTGAGTCACAATGATGCCTTAAACTAAACAAGACATTGATCAAATGTATACAACTTATGAATCACTAATGTAATAACTGCATTAAGGCAATTAGTAAAATTCTCTCCTTTGGCATGTTTGATTCATTTCAATACAAAAATATTTTACTTCCAAGTGCTAAACTTTTACACAGTTAAACCATAAAATTCAAATTAAAAAGCAGCAAAATCAATCAAGAAAACCAGAGAATTCCAACATGATAAAACAGAAATATGCAATAAAACCCAGATTAAAAAAATGTCATCAAAATTTAGCTGATTTAAACAAAACCCTTAAACCCTATAAAAATCTTATCAGAATTAACCATTAAAAAAATAAAGGTTTTATTAATATACTTCATTTTCTTCAAATGATTAGTACCTTACTGGGAGATTCACAAACGAGAGTGAAACTGAGCGGAAAAGCTTGTTGGTTGAAGCTTTTATGGAGCGGAGCCGACGCTCTTTGAGACGCGTGACAAAGGCCTGGTCACCAACATCTCTGCAGAAGAAGGACGAGGGCCTTAGAGGGTCAAAATTAGAAATAAAGAGATGGGCGGGAGCTTTTAGAGGGAAAATAATGGGAAAGGAGACGAAAATTAGAAGAAAGAACTGCGCGTCAGAGTGAAGAGAGAGAAGTCGGTTTTTTGGGGCAAATGATGACTTGGCACATAATTTTTAATATTTTGTATAAAATATAAAAAAAGAAAATTATATAATATTTATTTAATTATACACAAACTTAAGTTATATTAAAGGGTCGAGATAATATAATTTTTTTTAGATTTCAAAAATATTTTTTTATATTTAAGAAAGTTTAAAATGAATAATAAACTTTTGAAAGGGACTAATAAATGGAAAATCTCCCCTTGATCAAGGGGGACAAGGTCCTGCCTCCCCATAACTACAACCTACACATCACTATATATTCTAGAAAATCAAGTTATAGAAATCATCGAAAAATTACTCACAAATCACAATATAATGATGGATTGAGTTTTAGTTTTATAGTTATAATTATTATAATATTAAAAAATGTAGATTTTAATGTATTTAAGTGTTTACTATTTTCTGAATTATAGCTAGATGGAATTTATATAATTTAAACTATATATTAGAAAAATCGAATTAAAATAAGATCATTTTGGTTTAATTATACAAAAAGGTTTTATAGTCTTCAAACTTTTCCTAAAAAAATAATTAAATTTCTCATAATCTTTTGCATTCAATTGGGTCCTTAAATTGTGAAAATTAATTAAAATAGGTATTAAATGAGTAATGGTAATGGATCAAATCGAATCAAATTTTTGGTTGATCCAAATCCTATCTGAATATTATATCTCTCACCTGACACTCGACTCGAATTTTAAGATAAAAACCTACATTCAAATTGGCTTGAATATAAGAAAATCTTATTTTTATTAAATAAAATAAAGATGTAATTGAAAAGAAATAGAGAGATGGATATTATAATAATTATTTTTTAAATATACAAAAGAAAAATATACTATTATCTTGGATCGGATTGGATTTTTTCACCATAAACTTGAATTCAATCCAACTTCATCCTTCAGAAAATTTGACCAATTCGATTTGAACTCGACCATAAAAGATCAAAATCTATCAAATTCGGATAAAATTAACATCCTAATTAGAATAGGTCACGTATATGTATGATCAATTTAGTCAGAAAGAAAGGGAAAAAAAGGTTGAAATAATGACATCTTGTGTCACATTTGACTTGTGACTCAAGGTTCGTGTTCCATGCTTACTTTTTTGCCACGGAAACTGCTTAAAAGGCTACAACAGAAAAAAGAAAAGATTTTTCTGGGTTTCTTGTAAGCGTTACAAAGGTTACAACTGCATGGAAAGTAACTTTCAAAGGTGTGAGAAAGCAGTTGGTCCTTAATATTCATTTGGATGTTCATAGATCACTTTTTATCAGTTATGTTATTCGAATTCGATTAAATACGAGTAAATAGCTCATATAAATATGCAATAAATAGTTTTCCCATTTATCATTATCAAGATTATTGCTTCAATCCCACTATCATCATTGATATAAATATTATGTGGGGATTTGCCAAAAAAATTAGTTGATCCCTGCAAATTGCAAAACAATGCCTTGAATACAATGCCTGTCACCTAAATTTGAAGTCTCAACAAACCCCATCTGTCTCATTAACTTTCTCCCATTCTTCACTTCATTAACAATCACACCACCTTTCACCCACTAGTTGGTTTGATATTTATGTGCAAAACCTACAAATTTTGGAATGATAACTTTAATATGGCAATTAAGGCTGTCATGTTGTTGATCTTTTTTTATCTACTTGCGGAAATCCCAGAAATAAGTGCAATGGTTCCTGCAGTTATCGTGTTTGGAGATTCGACTGTCGATCCGGGGAACAATAATCAGATATCTACTGTTTTGAAGAGCAATTTCGCGCCATACGGGCGGGATTACTTCGATGGTCAGCCGACCGGACGTTTCTCCAATGGTCGGATTGCCACGGACTTCATTTCAGAAGCCTTTGGGATCAAGCCGACCATACCTGCGTATTTGGATCCCAAGTATGACATAAGAGATTTTGCTTCCGGTGTCTCGTTTGCTTCGGCTGGGACCGGTTATGACAATGCAACCTCTGATGTCCTGGTAAGGCGAGCCATGGCTAGCCGATAGTTATACCGTCTTACCGAAGATTTAAGTCTCATTTTTTTTTATTTTTCCTCTTGATTTTGCAGTCAGTGATACCGTTTTGGAAGGAAATGGAGTACTACAAAGAATATCAGAGCAAGCTAAGAGGGTACTTAGGCAATGACAAAGCTAATCAGCTTTTGAGTGAATCATTGCACCTTTTAAGCATAGGAACCAATGACTTCCTAGAGAACTACTACACATTTCCAACCCGATCTTCGCAGTATCCAGTCGAAAAATACGAAGATTTTCTGATAGGAATCGCCAGCAATTTCATCAGGGAGCTTTACAAGTTGGGAGCTCGGAAAATAGCAATAGGCGGCCTTCCTCCGATGGGATGTTTACCGTTGGAAAGAACAACGAATATCATGCATGGAAGCGCATGTATCGAAGACTATAATAACGTGGCTAAAGATTTCAATGTAAAGTTACAGGGTACCGTTGCTGAGCTGAACCAGGAACTCCATGGAATTCAAATCGTGATGACGAACCCCTACGACAAGCTCTTAGAAATGATCCAAAATCCGAGTCTTTTCGGTAAGCATTCAGCAAGAGTTTACAGTTCTAATTAATTAGTCGTAGGGTAAGGATATATATCCACTTATTGAACGTCATTAGCCCTGTAAACGAACCGAACGCACACGAACGGAGGTATGTTCATGTTCGTTTAATAAATAAACGAACACGAATATAAACGAACAAAAAATTTTTTGTTCATGTTCGTTCATTAAGGAATACAGCTTGTTCATGTTCGTTCATTTAAATAAATAAACGAACACGAACGAACGAACATAAACGAACAATACAAACACACAAAAAAACTTATTCGAACACAGCAAACGAATGTAAAAAAAATAAACAACAAGAATAACAACTTAAAATTCATTAATATAACATGCAACTTTAGAGTTAATTTGTTCGAATACGAAAAAAACATACATAAATCATAAATAAATTATATGAACATAATAAAGCCTTAAAGTTAATTTGTTCAACAAAACAATCTTCTTGAAATCCAAACAACTTCAATAATCTTTGTAACATATTCAACTTTTCCTATGTTCGAACATAAATGAACGAACATAAACGAACATATAATCGAACGTTCACGAACGTAAATGAACGAACGAGTCATTTGTTCATGTTCGTTCATTTAATTAAACGAACGCAAAATTTTGTTCATGTTCGTTCATTTAGGTGCTGTTTGTTTTTGCAGAGGTAAAAGGTATGCAGTCTGCAAGAAGAAGATTATTTGTTTTTTAATGTCTGCAGACTGTTAAAATAAACTAAAATATAAATAAACTGATTTTTTTTAAACTTAAAAGAGTTTTGCAATACTGAAATTTAAATAATTTTAGTTTTACAATACTGAAATTTAAATAATCCATACAACTACAATAATAATTTTTTTTAGGCGAAGATTTTTGTTTTTAATGTTCATTGAAGAGGTTGGAAGAGTTTTGAAGACACAATACCACGTCTGCGCCAATAAGAGAACATGCAGACGTTTTTAGAGCTATTGTCTTCTAAAAAACAAACGGTCTGCGAAGTTCAATGTCTGCGCGTAGTCTACGCGGAGTAGACATAAGAGCTTTGAAGACCTTTGTTTAGAAAAACAAACACCAGCTTAATAAATAAACGAACATAAACGAACATCCCGCCGCACGGTTCGTTGAACGTTCAGTTCATTTACAGGCTTAAACTTCATGCATATAAGTGGCAAAGACAGTAGGACAACATTAATTACACAACCATGTTTCTCTAAATATATGAAACCAGACAGCGGTTTGGTACGCTCAACCTCCAACATTCATTACCGGCATGCTTGTATTCTTTATCTAGTTACAACATCCATACATATAACCATGAAAGTATGCAGCGAACATACTCAAGAACGAATGATAACAAGTCATTTCAGGCCTCCGCGTTGTGCGTTCGGCATGTGTTTTCGACCTGCATGTGCCATGGTGTCGGCACGCATGCATTAAGACGTGTTTTAACATATTTTCTCTTAACTAATGAAATTTCTACAACATGGCAGGATTTGAAAATGTAGAAACAGCATGCTGCGGAACGGGATACTTCGAGATGAGTTACCTGTGTGATAGAATGAACCCATTTACATGTTCGGATGCCAATAAATATATATTCTGGGACTCATTTCACCCAACGGAGAAGACAAATTTCATTATGGCTGATCACGTCGTCAAAACTACCCTTGCCGTGTTCCGATAATTACTGATATGCAAAAAACAAGAAACACTTGTAACTTGTTCATTGTTGCAGACCTAGACATCCTATTATTATAATATTACAACAATGCATTTATTTGTAGTATTTTTAGCTATAGCTTCAAGGTCTGAGTATCGACCCCACAAGATCTTTGATCTGTCAACTCAATAAGGAACATTGTGGCTTACCATATTTATGAAAAGTCACCAACTAAAGAACAGATCTTGGGGCTAATAAAGATGCAACCAAGACGAATCTGGCTCAATATTGCTTAATGTAGAATTAATGTTTTTGTTGAGCAAATCCAATTTTGATCATGTTCTGCATACCGAGAAATTAGTGTCGGTCAATTAATCATAGGGATTCCTGAATGTCTTCAGAAGTTCGGGGATGTCATAACCCAACATGTCATCAACAGCTTGAATCATTTTAGGTTTTAGTTTCTCGAATTTGTCGAAGTTGTAACCACTCAAAACCTCCCTAAATTGTTCCACATTTGGAAAATCCCCTGGTGGTAGGTGATGATCTCTTTGAACCTGTATAACAAATAGATTTCTGCATAAGCAATTGATGCATGATAAAAGAACTTGGTGTTTGATGTAAACTTGCAATAAGCAGAAGCATGCGCTAAGAAAAGAGAAGAGAGAGGATACTTTTCCGAATTCAGCTTCCAAATTATCGATTAGTTTCTGTTGAGTTTTTGCTTTCCCTATCATAGAAGGCATTTCCTTCTTAAGATGACCGATGATATGAGCATGTATCTTGGCAGCTCTAGCACGCTTCACAAACTCATTTATCTGCAGGTAAACAATATAAGGAAACTTCTCAACGTGCAAAGTCTTTCAAAAAAATACTTCATTTTTTTTACAAGAATAGTAAAAATAAACTTACTTGACGATCACAAGCCTTCTTCGGAATATCTTTCAGATCAGAAAGAAGGTCCTCTTGTTCTTTTTCGAACAACTCTTTCCCAATTGGACCTGTTGCTGCTTCATTTACAGGCTTGTCATTGAATGAACTGTCAAAGAAGAGAAATTAGCATCAAATGATAAAGACTAAGTTGCATCTTAGTTGCAACAAGGAACACTGGGACACATTCATTTCAATCTTTAAGATTGACAAACAGAAAGAGATTACCCTATATATACGCGCACAACCTCTGGGGTATTAAGGACTTTCCCGAGTGACCACATTAAGGCTCCATATACCCTCATCAACTACAACGGAAGGCAAAGTTAAGCTCAAGAAAATCCAAACATCAAAAGAAAAGCATGGCCACTAAAATGCTTACTTGTTGCGTATCAACTTGATCTGCCTTGTTCAAAACCACACGGATCTTGTCATCGTGACCACGCAAAGAATATATAACACGCTTGAATTCATCACTTACATCCAACTTGTGAGGATCAAACAGAAGAAGAATAAGATCACATTTTGCAGCAAACCACGATGTTACACCTGTAAAATCGTAGGCTCGTTGTGTTCGTTGTTTTTCTCCTGATAACACTCCAGGAGTATCTACAAATGTTATGTGCTCCAACAGCTTCAGACGTGAAAGAGCATATTAAATTCTATATAAGCAGAAAATTTATTATCACAGTGAACTAGAATTGAACAATGAACTCACATGATGTGGCATTTGAGAACACTCAAACTTCGACAAAAATGCAGTTCCAAAACGAGTGAGACCACTGAATGGCATATCTGCCTGGACAGCAATAGTGTTCCCTGGAACACTTCTTTCATCAGTTCCCGACTGCATAGAGGGAAAGAAAGGACATACATAACACACAAGATCAAAACAAAATTCCACAATTACAACTAACATCAAACAATCAATAACAAGCAAAGAACTACAGAAAGATTATACAAAAAAAATTATGAATCAATTTCCATAACTTATGTTAAAACCACCAAGTAACTGAAACTATTAATGCTAGATCAATGATATTATATCACAGAGCAGATATTCGAAATTACCATAACAACGACAAATCTGTCAGTCGTTGGTTCAGGCCCGATGTGTGCTCCTGAAAATGATAACAAAAATATGAGTGAAAGTGAGGGGGGCAGGGACGATGTCTGAGTATGTGTAAGAGAGAGAGAGGATCACTTGCCTGGATAGCTAGTCTTAAGCAAATGTTTAATGAAGGTTGTTTTCCCAGTGGAGTATTGACCCAAAAGCATAACCATTGGTTTGGCATCAAAATCGCTATTTGTCTGCAACAAACGAATATAAAAAATCAGCTGATTAGCTTTTGAGAGATGTTAAATAAAACTTCAGCAGATACTCAAGGATAGTTAAAACTGAGCCGAATCTACAACTTACTCACCAACAATGGGGATACAAAATCATTAAAATGATATGCAACTTCTAAAGGCTTCAGCTTCTGAAGGTACAGTCTCTTTAAGCCGTCTATAACTGAAGTCACAGACGTCAAAGATATCTGTTATACACAAAAAAGGATTAGTTACCAACTCTAAGGATGCAGATAAATAAAAGCACACTAAAAGGGATCAATTAAAGGAACTGGACACATATTAACATCACTAACCCACAAATATCAAAGTTAAAATAATAAGTTTTCCGGAAGTAAAATAAAGAGTCAAATATACATTTGATACAAATAAAGGAATTATTTATAGCCACAATACGACGATAATTTTTTATTTTTTTTTAAAAAAAGAAGGTAATAAACAAGAACATTAAGAGTGATGAAAGACCAATTATAAAATAACGAAACAAACCTTCTTTGATGATTTTGAAGAAAACCATTGAGCTGCAGGTGATGTTTCCGTTGAAGAACTACCTGCACTACCCCGAAAAATAAAATTAATAATACGGTAGAGAAAACATAGTAAAATAATCATCAAAGATTACAATGAGAAAGTCATACCGTTGCTTTCAAGGGCACTCGACTTTGAAGATTGTTTCTTTCTCTGAATAAATGAAGCAAAAAGTGTAAGAATGTCCAGAAGCTAAGCATAAGAACATAGAGTTTAAGGCAAAAGTGTAAGAATGTCTTGATGCTAAGCATAAGAACAAAGAGTTTAAGAAGGCAAAAGAAAGCAGCAACCATACCATGAGTAATATATCCAAGCCTTCCATTACAGGAGGTTTGACATTCTCAAAGTCAACTGCAATATATCAGCATATCTTAACATTAGCTTTAACAACTAATCCATTATACAAGAATACAAAATGTACCAGCAAAACAACCAAAAAACAGTTTTTTTTAGATAAATAAATACACCTTAGAAATTTTTAACCTGAAATAAAAATTCAAAGCATGAAATTCAGAAATAGGGACAAGCTAAATCATCATACCATCGCCATTCATGAGATCATGTGATATTTGCCGGCCTTCTTGCGCCAGCGAAACCAGCTAAGCGTTAAAAGTAACAGCAAGTCAGAATTGAAGAAATCAAACAGCAATATATATGATCACAATCCAAAGAAAAATTACAACTCCTAACCTGCATAGCAAAGACAAATTCTTTGAAACCAAGATATCCCTGTCTTCTAGAATCCGCAGTTGCCCACACCTTTGAGGAATCAAAACAAGAAAGCACAAAGCTATTCAACGTAGTGCCCATTATGAAGCCGAATCATTAAGAAAAAAAAACATAAAAGAATCAAGAACAGTAATCAAACTCCAATCCCCTATGATTTTGTTGAATTAATTAAAAATAAAACCTCAATGATTCAATTAAAGATACTTTCAGAGTTTACGAACAAGCAACAGAAGCAGTTAAAATTGCCTTAGGACTATTTCCATACAAACTCTTAAGTTTAAGTTTAAGCTGTATACAGATAAACAAAAGATAAAATTAGCAAAAGTGAAGAAAACAAAAGAAGATTTACCTGCTTGAGATCTGGTCGCGATAAATTTGACATGCCGAAAAATCTGATTGCATCACTTCCAGTAATGCGTCCATCATTATCTACCAAAATAGTTTTGAAAATTACTAGAATAAAAAAATAAACAGAAGTGATTAAAAAATTCGAACGAAAATCAAACAATTAAACTGTACCAGAATCAGCAAAGTTAAACCACTCCTGATAAATTTTCTGGTCTTCTTTAGAGCTCGAACCGATTCGACCGGTCCCGATCTCCATTTCTGAAGAGAAAACAGTAAACTCCGTCCTTTTTTTCACTTCAAGCGTTCGATAAGAGAAAAGCTGGTTTCTAAACAGTAGAGACAGAGCGAGAGAGAAATAGTCAAAAAAAAATCGAAGAAAAAGGGAGTAAAAGCACTGCCGCACCCGCACCGCGCCCGTATTTTACTTGGGAGAGTGCTTCAACACCACTAAAAGGAAAATTCAATACGACGTCGTATATTACGTCGGCTTTTTGAAAGTTTTTACAAACGACAGCGTTTTTGGATTTTAATTGCTGTTTCGTCTTAAGACTCGCGCCAAGAGTGGGTTATTAAAAATAAAAAAGAAAATGGGGTAATTAATAATTACTAGAGGTCAAAATAAAAATAACAATAATAAATTTTATTTTTGATTTAAATTAAAATTCAATTAATAATTTTTAATATTATATATCCTATGATAAAAAAACAATGTTATTACCAAATTGAAATAAGATTAAATGGTATTTAATTCGTGATTGAATATTGATAGCGTTTTAAGTCTCGTTGACAATGCCGCATTGAGAGGTCTTCATTTGAAAGGTCGGTGTGCAATGCATGGAAAATATGGATGTCAGTTGATTTTATTTTATTACATTACATAGTTTATAGTGGAACCTTTAAATAAATACCTGGTAAATTATAAACTTGACAAAAAATATTTTATTTTAATATTATTTGTATTTTAATTATTTTATCATTAAATCACAAATAGTATAATAATATGAAAATTGATTTAATATCGTATCAAAACGACATCATTTTAAATTTCTATAAAACTCATCAAAATACTAAACTTCTCATTTGTTAATAAAACTATTGACGTGACAAGTAAATAAATTTATACAATAATATTTTTTTATCCTTATTAATTATACATTCTATTAATCTTAATCTTAATTTTAATTATAAAATATTTATAGTTTACTTTATTGGTAAAAATTAAAAGCATATAAAAAAACTTGAACATGAGTCATGGATATAGACATGCCTAACCATTGAAGCAAGTTCAGTACTTAATTCATGATTGACAATATTTTGTATATTTGAAAAACAGGAACACCATGTGTTGTCATTGTAAAAGCATTAGTATTTCATATTTTTCCATCATTTTATGTCTTTACCACTTCTTTTATACTATGTTTTTTTCCTTTGTTAGTTATTAACTTAAATTTTAATTAAAATTTAAATAGTATTTTATTATAATCATAAAAGATTATTTAATAATTAAATTTATTTAATAAGTAAATACTTATTTTATGTCAATAAATCTCATGAAATTAGATTTTTAGTGACAAAGTATTTGATTTATGTATATGAACTAGATCTTAACATTTATAATTAGGCATTCTATCAAAAAACTATCCAAGTTTGACTAAATAATTATTTTGGCACAATTTTGTTTTTTAGTATTTTGATTCTCAATGCTTCATTTTAAGGTGAAATGACACTTAACGACTAACATTTTATTAAATAGTCATTTTATCACTTGTTTTTCTTTTTTTGAAATATTTTGACCATGAATGTTTTATAAGGTGAAATGGCACCTAACGACTAATATTTTATTAAATAGTCATTTTATCACTTGTTTTACTTTTTTGAAGTATTTTGACCATGAATGTTTTATCTTAGAACAAAAATGCTCTTAGTTTGGAGCGTTAATCATTTTTGACCAACGTTTCCATTCACAAAGGGACTTTTTTGTTAAAAAAAATGAAATGTTTGAGGGTCAAAATGATCTAAAAAATGGTCGAAGTGACTATTTAATCAAACTTAAAAGTATTTTTTTATCATTATGCTTTAAAATTGGGAGAATTATTTTAGATAGACTTAATCTCTTTCGAGATTCCTATAAATTTTGGGGTTTCAGTTATAGAGATGATGTCGTAGGAACATTAGAGTTTCAGTTTTGAAATCTTTGTCATCATATATCTTTAAGATGTAATATATAATCATATATTCTGATATAATATTCGTACATTTGATTCACATCTAAAATTTATCTTAAATTAACTATTTAATTTTCTTAATAATATTAAGATTTTGAAATATTAAAATATTTAATTCACATAATATGATATTATCTTTTAAGATAGAACTATCAGAATATAAGATTACTAATATAATTAGTATACTCATATTTTTGTAATCTATTTAAATATTTTCAAGTATTTCCTTCCTATTTAACAAAACTATCTACTATTTTTATATATAAAAAAAATATTTTAATAAGATTTAGTTTTGTACAGGCTCATATTTAATTTTTTTTTTTGAAATAAATCACTAATTTTATTTAAAATATAAAATATCTTAAATCACAATAAAAATTTATGATCATAATCGTAAATTAAACTCATAATTAGGATATTTTTATATAATCATTAAAATGAAACTAACAACTTAAGATCACATAAAAACCATACAAAAGATACAAACATATATGATCTGATCGCATCGGCAAACGAACCACAAAAAGAGATCAAACTACTGAAAGATTACTGACAAACTGTAAATTAAATTCGAGCAATGTGAAAAGTTATCAATGAACACATAACACGTATCCAAGTCCAATCCGATGATACAAAGCATGTAAAATTAACAATATAACAGATAAACGTCATCTTGATCAACCGTGACGATGTCTAATCAACCCTTAAAAGAAATAAATGAAAACAGTCAAAAGACAGAGGAAAACGCAATCATATCCTGCAAATCAAATGGCAAAACTTTAGATTCTACACAAATGAAGCAAATCGAGTAATGAAACATAGGCGTACTAAATACTGTTACTCAAATGTAATATTATACTGCGTTAACCAAACGGCTGCCGATGGTCTTCCCAAGCAACCATAGAACAAGCGATAACTCAATACCAAAAATGATGCGTAGAGTACTCCTATCTAACATGAACCCATACACTGTAATCCCAGCTCGATTGTTCTCGAAGTACGTCACTGTCATGAAACAAATCGTCAATGCAAAAATTAACATACACAACCATATACTTAAAACGCACATTTTATATGAACTTTTACCTAGAGCTTGTCTCTTCTGGTATGAAATGGTACAATAAGCATAAGCAGGGATCAACTTGTTGTTTTCCAAGTCATCTTCTTCATCTCCGGCATCGTCGCAGTCGGATTCACGGTCATTAGGAAACTCTTGCAAGGCGTGGATGGCCGGGGAGCTCGGCGTCTCGATGTCGTTCACACCACGGGAGTCTAATGTTGCACAAACATGCCACTTTGAAGCGAGGTTTGTGATAGATTGTGCTTTGTGTGTGATCTTTGCAGCATTTCGCAACAATATTAAGAGTCCCGTGACAAGAGTTAGAGAGCACATCTGTAACAAAAACAACACATTAGCATTGGAAATATATATGTTAATCCAACCCGGGTATCGAGATCGAACACTTACGGCAAGTTCTCCGGTTTTATAAATATTCAGATCAGAATCAGCCTTTGTAGTGATAAGCAATGAAGTGAATTGGCTGCCGGTGACCAAAATGAGGCACCATAATATGAATGCACGATATCTATGGCTGATGATCTTCAAGTGCCGTTTGATCCTAAGGTGTTCGGCCAAGACCGAACTGACATCCGAATCAACATGGAAAACCTGAGCGAAATCCTGGAGCCGGAGAACTTGGAGGTTGCAGATGAGTTGGAACAGGACGCAAACGAGGAAGAAGACGGCGGTCCGGTAGAGCCACGAATATAACTCCATGAAACAGGCTACCATGTCGCTCAACCACATGATGCCTAGGAAAGGGATCTGGGATGCACCAGAGGCGTACCACCATACTTTGTATGCTGTTTCAGCTATGAAACAGGGGAGGACAAAAATAGATACAATCTTCAGTGATCTCTGCATAGAGTAAAGAGTGAAATGAATTCATAATTTTTTACTTTTAAACGTGATCCAAAGTTCAAAACTCACTCAAACTCGACCAATTAACACCCGAATTTGACTCGAATCGAAAACAAATAATCCGAAACAAATCTCCAAAAAGATTCAAATCTAATAAACGAAAGAGAAAAAAACTTACATTGAGCTGAACGATGTAATCTTTCCTAACAGTCTCACTCTCATCACATAGCTTATCAAAGAACAAGAACCTCCTCAGACCATATCTTTTCACGAACCCCGTCAAGCAAACGAAAGACAAGGCCGAGACGCTGCTCAACGACGGCTGGACCACCCAATCGTAGGGTCTTGCATGCGTAGCATCACAAGTGGGACAAGCTAATAAAAAATGGGACACACAAGGAACAAGGAGACCGAACACGATGAACATGAACCAGGACAGACAAGCCATCCATATGTTGGATTGGTCGACGCACATCCATCTTAGGCATGTTCTGAAGCTGTGTAGCTCGTCTTGTGCGTGAGAAATGGTTCTTGCCAACTTAGTGCTGCGATCCACCAAGGGTTCCATGTCTCCCATGGATGAAGGCTGAAAGTTTTGGGGTTCGTAAGTAGAAAATTAAGGGAGTGGTTTAGACATGGTAGAAGCTGGTTTTATAGGGGATGTGTCGTCCAACGAGAGGAGAACATGTAATGGAACATTAAAGTGAATTTGTCTAGTGTTTTGTGTCTGAATCTGATGATGAGTTTTTTTTATCCAAAAATCAAGTGGTCTTAATTTTGAGGAATCTTCAATGGGACACCCTAATCTGTTCAAATAATTAATATGGTTAACTGGATTCTTTAATTCTTTAATGAACAAAACATTGTACTTAACTTAAGCACGTAACTTAGGGACTAGGCAAGCATCAGATGCAACGTGTAAAGCTAGGCCGCCATTAATAAGTCTCAAACAAGACATTGCGCTTCATTTGATTGTGTCACGATTACGTTAAAAAAAATTAAAAAAAATCTTTTTGCAGATAAAATATTTATATATAATTTTATTAATTTTAAATTAAATTTTTAAATAAAGGTTTATATTTTTATTTATAATTAAATTAAATTTATTTATCAATTAAAATATAAATCGTAATCTATTCAAAAAAAATTAAATCGTAATAATATATTATAAATATTTAAAATAATGGTTTTTCATTTTTCTCAATTAAGTTCGTATTTAATGAACATGTGATATGAAGTCAATCAAGAATTTAGAGTAAAAATGAGATACAACTAATTTGCAATTATGTATCTGTACAATTATATTAAATACTAGAAAGACATAGGGTATACATGGCATGTTCATTGTTGATTGGAGAATATGATGTTTAGGGACATTTTTAATAGTTTAGATGGGAATAAAGTGGGAAATGAATACATCATATGTTCTTTATTCCCCTTCAACTTTGATTCCCTGTGCTATAGCCATTGGTTAATGGCTTGTTTGAAGATTACAAAATTAATATATGGCACAGAAATTTGAGTAAAATAATCATCAAAGGTAGAGACTAAAAGGTCTAATATTTAATTTATCACGAAAATAAAATGATTTTAAAAAAAAACATAAAGTTACAAAATGAAAAGATTTGGGGAATGAAAATCAGGAAATACCAACGGTTTTTCCAAGCAACCAAAGAACAAGAGAGAATTCGATCCCAAAAATGGTGTCAAGAGTGCTCCTATCCAACATGAACCCATACACTGTAATCCCAGCTCGATTGTTCTCGAAATACGTCACTGTCATCAAACAAATCATCAATGCAAAAATTAAAATACACAACCATATACTAAAACGGCACATTTTATATAAACTATTACCTAGAGCTTGTCTCTTTTGGTATGAGATGGTACTATAAGCATAAGCAGGGATCAGCTTGCTGTTATCCAAGTCATCTTCTTCATCGCCGGCATCCTCGCCGTCAGATTCACCGTCTGTACCCACAACAGGAAGCGCTTGCTGGCCGTGGATGGCCGGAGTCCTCGGGGTCTCACCGTCGTTCGCATCGAATGAGTCTAGTGTTGCACAGACATGCCACTTTGAAGCAAGGCAGGTGACCGCTTGTGCTTTGTGTGTAATCTTTGTTGCACTTCGTAATAATATGCAGAGTCCCGTTAGCAGAGTTATAGAACACATCTGCAACAAAAACAACACGTTAGCATCTAAACAATCTAAGTAAATCAAAGTCCGGTATCGATATCGAACTCTTACGGCAAGTTCTCCGGTTTTATAAATATTCAGATCAGAATCAGCCTTTGTAGTGATAAGCAATGAAGTGAATTGGCTGCCTGTGACCAAAATGAGGCACCATAATATGAATGTGCGATATCTATGGCTGATGATCTTCAAGTGCCGCCTGATCCTAAGGTGTTCGGCCAAGACCGAACCGACATCTGAATCAACATGGAAAACCTGAGCAAAATCGTGGAGCCGGAGAACTTGGAGGTTGCAGATGAGTTGGAACAGGACACAAATGAGGAAGAAGACGGTGGTGCGGTAGAGCCAGGAGCACAACTCCATGAAACAGGCTACAGCGTCACTCAACCACACAACGCCTAAGAAAGGGACTTGGGATGCACCAGAGGCGTACCACCATACTTTGTATGCTGTCTCAGCTATGAAACATGGGAAGACAAAAATCGACACCATCTTCAGTGATTTCTGCATATATTAAACAGTGAAATGAATTCATAATTATGTTCATCATCCAAATTTGAAACTGACCCGAACTCGAACTGATTTTCATAAATACAATTCTAGTAATAATTCAATACATACGACTCATTTTCACTGTACAAAAAGGAAAGGGTGCGTCATCTTCCACAATGAAGAGTCTAGAACTCCAGCCAACGCAAAGAATTATCGGGTTATTTGATCAAGTAAAGCTCCTAGAACATGTTAGATTCCCGAAATTTCCAGATTAAAGATCAAACAACAACAAGATCACACAAAGAAACCAGAAATTAATTCAAAATATTAATTCAAAATCTCATATATTCAAAAGAAAAAAAAAACTAAATTAAACAACTTACATTGAGCTGAACAGTGTAGCATTTCCTAACAGTTTCACTTTCATCACAGAGCTTATCAAAGAACAAGAACCTCCTCAGACCATATTTCTTCACGAACCTCGTCAAGCAAACGAAAGACAATGCCGAAACGCTGCTGAAAGACAGCTGAACCACCCAATCATAGGGCCTTGCATGCGTAGCGTCACAACTGGGACAAGCTAACAAAAAATGGGACACACAGGGAACAACGAGACCGAACACGATGAACATGAACCAAGACAGACAAGCCATCCATATGTTGGATTGGTCGACGCACATCCATCTTAGGTATGTTCTGAAGCTGTGCAACTCGTCTTGTGCGTGAGAAATGGATCTTGCCAACTTATTAGTTCGATGCACCAGTGGTTCCATGTTGTCTCCCATCGCTGATCTGTGGAAAAAGCTGGAAATTTTGGGGTTTAAAAGGAGAAACTATGGAATCACTTCAGACATGTTACAATCATTTATAAAAGGGATCTGTGAAGCATTTGTGCCTGCATCAGATGTTGGGTTTTTTGGTCCTAGGATCAAGTGGTCTTAATTTTGAAGAATCATGGTTAAGCCTGTCGTTTACAGGTCATCAATGAGACAGCTTGGACAAAAGACTTAAAATGGAGCTGGATAATTAGCCTAATCTCCATTATTTTATATACATATATAAAAGATTCCATCAAATCTGTCTGTAATTTTGATCTAATTTTAGTTTTAGTCCCTCTTTTATGCTGAAGTTTAGAATTTAATCTTTTAACTTTAACACAATTTAATTATTACTACCTCCAAATTGATAACATCCTCTTTTGTAACCATTATAAATGATGCCATGGAATATTTTTAAACTAGCCTTAAATTTTCACATAATATATAAATCTATTGACGATTCAACATGATTTATTGAATTTTCATGCGGATCTAAGTGTGAGACTAAATAACAGCAAAATGAAAATTTCACATTAACAGTAGTATCAAACTAGACCTCCCAATAACATTAATAGAAGAGGAAACAAATTATATCAAACTAAAATAGAGGGATTAGATTCCAATTTTCAACCCAATAGAGGACTAAAATCACAATTACACCTAAAAGTTTTCACTGCAACTCTATGAAGAAATTTGGTAACTTTTCCTAATTTGATCTTGAACTTTTTTGTCTATATTAACCTTTGGAATTCACAATTTTTCTCATTTATAGTTATTTTAATGGTGTTGTACTAGGATGGTATGAGTATGACATTTGACATAATTTCAAATTATCATACCATTAGAATGACTAAAAAAGTATTTTTAGGATTAATTTGGATAAAAAAAAGTTATTCATAGACCAAACTGAAAAAAGGTTTTGAGATTCAAAGATAAAAAATTATTCATATCAAATTTTGACTTTGAAATATATAAAACAAAAAACCCTCTTATCAAATGAAGTTGAAAGTTGGATTCTTTGATTCTTCCTTTTTGTTTATTGAACAAAAGATTGCAGATGAGCAAGGTTCCATGTGCTACAGAGTCACTCAACATAGATACTGATAAGAGTATACAATACAGCAAGTGGAGGGACCAGGCAAGCGTCACATGCAACGTGTAAACTCGGCCACTCTTAATGCAAATTACCAACATGACATTGCCACATGGGAATTTAGACAATGTCAGCCTATAATCACCACAATTAATCTCCAATTATCTATCTGTTCATACTTGTTCAATGTTCATTGCAGAACTTGCTCTTTAGCAGTAGAGCAAACATATATTTTTTTAGTTCAGATAAGTTGGCAAAGGAATCAATTTCATCTGGTTTTTCCTCTTTTGTCAATTGAACCTGTCTGCTTCCATTGATACCCTGTGGTTTGGTGATTGGTTAGACTTTTTTGATTTATTTTAATTAAAAGTTGTATGATTTCACCCATGTGATTTGACATATTTTTTTAGAATTTGTAATCTGACTGGTAGGAAAAAGCCAGCTCAACGATTGATTCACCTGCAAAAATCATATTATTGATACCAGATGTTGACGTTGAAGGTTAGAGACGATTCATTCGGTGTTGAGAGTGGAAAGAATCGGAGGACTAAAGCAATTCTGAGAATGAAAAATGGACAAGCAATTGCATATAAGTGTTAAGTCTTCACTGATTTCAAATGATTTTTATTAGGGTCAGTAAAATTAAGTCAAAATCAACTAAACTGATCCGATTCATCCAATTTGGATTATTTTATTTGTTTAATTTTAATTTCAACTCGATTCTACAGGTCGATTTAATTTAATCACTCGATTAAAATATTATTATAAATAAGTCATTTTATCATTAAAATAAAAAAGATGTCTAATAATAATTTTAGTCCCCAAAACTTATACCTCCTATAAATTTGATCCTGATTTGAAACAATTTAGTAAATTTAACCTTTCATATCTAAAATCTTCATTAATTTGAAATTGTGATTTAATTAAGATGGATTTATGAAATTATGCTTTCCTCTATTATTGTTAACTGAATTTATTCTATGCATTGTTGGCAAAAGAAATATATACCATTCATCCAACCTTCCTCTTTGGATGCATATTTGTATATTATTATACCCAAATTTGGGTGCAGCCCATTTAGACTTCAAGGTGAACATTAACCATTGGAATGCTAATTTGTGCATAAAATGTTAATTAAATTGTTGCATTTCATCCAATAATAAATAAATTAGTGCAAATAATTATTAATATACTTTTTATTTTTGTTTGTAATTAAATGATCGCACTTTGAACTTTTATAACCTTTTTTAATTAAGCTAATGTGATTACAAAGTAATATTTGTTTTTAGAACTCTTAATCATTGGACAATGAATGTATAATCACTATTGCAGTCACCGATGCTCAAATAATTATCTCTAAGAACAACAACGATTCTTTTAATTACAAAGATAAATTGATTGGTTTGTTTAGAACTTATATACCTAAAATTACAATGCAACTATCCCTAAAATTGGAAGTATAGTCTCAGTGGATGGTGCGGCTGCAAAGATGTGATTGGTTCCCAATCTCCTACACTAGCTTCGGCTCTTGTTTCAAGGTCTATTAGGGCTTTGTTCAAGTTTATCATGCTTTACACAATGTTATTATGTTAATCAAAACTTTGTTATTCAAATCCATCAACAATAAAATGAATGACTGCATCAACCACCAATGAAAGGTCAAATTATTGGAAATGCAAAGCATATGCCCATATGGGAAGCATCCTGGAAACATCTCGATCCTGAAATTAGGTCATTCTGGGTCAAAACCCGATGAAGAAAAAATAAAATCAATAAACAAACCCAGAAAATGGGGGGAAAATCAATACAATTTGATCGGATATCAAGGTGCTTTCCAATTCAATCATCTTCTTCTTTATCCTTTTGTTGGATTTGATGAAAGTTTTAAAATTGCAGCATTTAATTGATTCACGGCCATGGTATGAAAAATTCTTTCTGCGACTGAATTTATTGCAACGATTCTATGGATCTACCATCTTTATTATCTTGCATGCACCAAGTTGAATCATTATGACCATGGAAGAAAGAAAATGAAGGAAATGGTTGGATTTAATCCATTTGAGAGGATTTCATACATGGGATCTATAACAGAAGGTTAAGTAATCCCAGAAATGAGACTTAATAGCATCACAAACCCTAAATCATCGTCATCGTAATCATATTTCTAACAAATGATACTCGTAGGGATTAAGACTGTTTCATCTTAACCATGTCTCCTTTTTTGCTTCTTTTTTCGCTTAAAAAAGCTAAAAATTTTAAAAAAAGAAAAGAGATTCAATAATTTACCATCTTCGTCTTCGCCGATTTTATCATCGTTATCGTGATCAAAGAGATAGGGCAGTGCACCGGAGATCGTCATCTTCATCCAACGGTGGAAAATTGAGATCAAAAGGCAATGTTTTCCTACGCGAAGACGATGCGATATCTCCGTCGTCGACAACCGATGACGACGAATCACATTCACTATGACAATCCTCCGGCACTACCGGCGGCGTCCTCGGATGGTACTTTTTAGTCGAAACCAATGAAAAATTCGTCGATTTCTGTCGCGGTGGTTGGGCCGGTCTGGGTCCACTAAATGACTCCACCGTGCTACTCATGCTACTCCTCGTCGGTATCTGTGGATTCACTCCGTGTTCGAGAAAATCGCCCATCGTGTATAACCGGTGTTGGTCTATGAACCCATCGTTGTGGTGATGATGGTTCGTCTCTAAAGGAAAGGCCGTGAGATTTGAAGAATCTAAAGGAAAATTAGTTTTAGCTTTGGGTCCACGGAGTGACCTCGCCGCCGCATCGTAAGCCCGAGCAGCATCCTCAGCTGAGTCGAAGGTCCCTAGCCACACCCTTGTCTTCTTCCAAGGGTCTCGAATCTCCGCCGCAAATCTGCCCCATGGTCTTTTTCTAACACCTCTGTATCTCAGTTCTTTAATAGATCCGCTAGGTTGTAGTGCCGGTTTCGTGGCTAAGGCGTTTGCGGCGGCGGCGGCAACTCTACCTCTCCTCATCGGAAAGAAATATTTTTTTTTAAATGGACTTTTAGATTCAATCCTTCAAAGGACAAATCCAAAATCAGATTTAAAACTTAAAAAGATTGAAATAATAACAATAATATTTATAACAATCCAGAGGGGTTGATGAAAAGATTACAGATTAACAAAAAAATATAAAAGAAGTACATCGACCAAATCAACCCATCCAAAACCTACCTATTTTTGAAACTAAAAACAGAAACCAGGAGAGATCGAAGATAAAAGGAGAGAAAACAAAGGGAGGAGGAAGAAGGAAGGAAGATGAAAATGAAAGTAAAAGCTAAACAGAGGAAGAAGAAGACTGGTAGGCTAAGAACTGGATGGCACCAGAAGAGAGGCCTTTCACTTCTACACACACGAAAATTAAAATTAAAATTAAAAGTTATAGTAATAATTTTTGGGTAAAGTATACAAATAGTCTCCAAACTTTTAGGGAGTTTGCATTTTGGTCACCCAACTTTTAAAAATTGCAATACAATCATCAAACTTTTAGTTCATTTTCAGTAAGGTTCCTGTCATTTACTCTCATTAGTTTCAGCTAATGTGGCACTTAATCCCGTTAACCCCTCTTTTCTTCTTCTTCTCTCACCCCACCTCGAGTCAGCGGTGGCTCACACAGCGATCACCATTGTCACCGATGTCGTCTCCCGACCACACCCCTATCATCGGTTCATACTCATTGTCCATCGTTCGTCCCAAAATATGAGAAGAACGTTCAAACAACCATCTCCGAACTCCATCTTCAGTCACTGGTAACCATCAACGCCGGTACCAGTAGGAGCACCGCCCCATTCTGACCAAAATTCCTCTAGCCACTCGCCGAGACTCACCTCTGTTTGTCGTGGAGCAGGCCCCGAATCTCGTCGAAAAATCCCCAACATCTCTATTTTGTTTTCATCGATTTTTGGTTGATTGGGTCATTCATTCGCCACACCGCCACCATAGTTGGAGTCCTCACATCGTTCCAACCAAAACCTCACTAAACACTCACCGATACTCACCTCCATTCGCCATGGAGATGGCCTCGAATCTCGTCGAAAAATGCCAACATCCCTTTTCTATTTTCATTGATTTTTGGCCAATTGGATCATCCGTTCGCCACCACCGTTGGAGTCCTCACACCATTCCGACCAAAACCCAGTCGGTCGTGCCTTCTTGCCGTTGTCCCTCCTCCGTCCGTCGTTGGTTAAGGAGAAGAATAAGAAGGATAATGGGGGTTAACGGGGTTAAGTGTCACATCAGTTAAAACTAACAGGAGGTAATGACAGAGACCTTACTAAAAACGAACAAAAAGTTCGGTGATTGTATTTCAAGTTTCAAAAGTTTAGTGACCAAAATATAATTACCTTAAAAGTTTGAGGACTGTTTATATACTTGATCCTTAATTTTTTTAAAGATAAATAAAGATAGTGTTTTGATTTTTTTAAAGTTAAATTTTCTTGCGGGGAATTGAGTTTTTCTTCTTCTTTCCTTTCCTTTCTTTTTTATGGCTTAAACGGTTTCCCTCTCTTCTCGATTTCTCCTACCCTCTCTTTCCCCCCACATGCCGACTCGCTTTCCTTTTATTTTAAGGTTTAATTGTAGTAGTAGTCCTTCTATTATTCTAAAATTTAATATTTAATCTCTATTTTAATTTAATAATACTATTTCTTTTTGTTGTCTTTTTGATTCTCAAAGTTTCGTCCTGATTAATTCGGACCGATCCAAATCACATACAGCTAAACAATAATATCACGATAATGACATTATAGGTTTCAAAGTATTCTTACTTGTTTTTATTAAAATATGCATTTATAATTATTTGAATATGTAAACTAATATTCATAAAAAATACAAAATAGATATTCATGTAATTTTATATTTTTAATTAAATAAAAAAGTATTATACTTTTAAAATAAATATTAATATTTAATTTTATATAAAATAAGATAATATAATTATTATTGATAATTTATCTAATTAATAAGTCTCACGTAATTTTATATTTGATCTAATTTCAATAAAGAAAATTATGTCACCCGTAAATTGAAGTAGAGAAGAAAATAGTGTTTTCTTTACAATAAGAAAATAGTGTGTTTAAGTTAATTAAATGCATATTCTCTATATATTACAACAAATACTATGTCACTCGGTTAACCTTTTACTTTTAAATTATATTAAATTAAAAGGAAAATAATACATATCGAAATTTAGAATATTTATATATATACTTTTAGAAGAATATTTATACATTGAAATATTATAAGATTTAAGTAAATGGTAAAGTATCTAAATTTTCATTTTGGTCACTCAAAATAAATCCTTTCAATTTTGGTCACTGTCATTAGAAAAAAGATTATTACTTTTAGTAATCAAACTGTTAAATCTCCAATGATACTAATGGTAATGTATCCAATTGGTCATCCAATTTTTATGATGCTTTTATTTTTAAAGCAAAAAATAATATATTTAAACCATGTAATCATAAAAATCCCCCATCATATATTGGAATTTAATCAATTAAAACTTAATTTAATCAATAAAGTTAAACTAATTTTTATGTGTCTTAGACCTCTTATTTACTCTGATTAATTAAATGTTGATCAAAACAAAATTACCTTAAAAGTTGGGTGACTAAACTGAAAGTGTCTTAAAAGTTAGACGATACAAATAAGAAGTTTATCGTTAACGATTTAGGGTTTTAACAATCAAGTGATTAAATTGAACAGTTTCTCTAATATAGATGATTAAATTGAGATGATTTTTTATGGACCAGAATGAATATCTTAAAAAATTGGATCACTTTGTAAACTACCCTAAAATAAATGATCTTATAGATGAAATGACGGAGGAGTCCTTTCTCTTTTAATAATTTTGTCAGCGGGTAAATTTTCCTCAGTATGCTTTTTAATTTTTATAGATTGGTCTCCATCATTCTTTTTGCATTGGGCAGGTTTCTTTTTCTTTTATATATAAATAATAAATTATAATATTGGCATTATTCTCCATAATTTGCGTACCACATATGCACTTAACAAAAGTTTTTCAAAATAAATTAATATTGAAATACATAATAAGTTAATCAAAATGTAGATAACATTAAGGTCTAATGCGAAATCCATTTTTCTATAAAAATAAAAATAAAAATTAAATTAAATAAAATTTATTATTTAATAATATCAATTGAAACCAAAATCTCAAATTCTTAAAAAAGGGGCTTTTTACAAAAGAATCACTCTAAAATCCTAATATTCCCATTTTAACACTCGTTTCTCAATATTTCTCAATTTAACATCTTTTTGGCATAATTGAGTAAGATACATTTCAAGAGACGTATCTTTTAGGGGTATTGTTGAGTTGGGACCACATCCTATGAGATACGTCTTACCCAAATTTTCATAAAATGTATTTTAAAAAATACATTTTAAAAAATTTTAAAAATAAAATTATAAAGACCAATAATATAATTTAACATATAATAGTTTCACGAGTTAAAAAACCTAATTGTGTTAGTTTATATAGACATAGTAAAATACTTAGGTTATATTTGTTAACAATATGATATAAAATCTAAAAAAAGAGTTCTACCTTTTCATCACATGACCCGTTAAGTTAGATTTTTTTCACTATTTAAAAATAAATTAAAGTTTATATTCATTAAAAGTAAATATTTTTATACCTTAAAATATTTATTTTTTAATTCTAAGTTCAATTTTGTTAAGAAATATTTTGATATAAATATTTAAATTAAAATTAAAATTAATTAATAATTATATATTTTATAATATTATTTTATAAAGCATCATCAAATTCAGTTTGTTGGAGAGAATTTGATATAATTTCGAGTTTTTTATGTTTACTTTGCAAAAACTACTCATAGAGATGTTATTGTTTAGAATTTCACTTTACGATCCTGTTAATTAATTATTCTTGAATCTATAAATTAAAATGTTAATGTTGAGATTCATAAAGATGGAAAACAATTGACATATTTGCAACAAGAAATGGAATATATGGATTTGCTTCTTTAAATGCATGTGATATATAACCATCAACAACTTCAGATTATATCAGTTTCTTCTCAACAAACTAAATTTGACAATTCTTTATAAAAACAATATTATAAAATATATAATTATTTAATTAATTTTAATTTATTTTTAAGTATTTTGTAAAAAAATTCTTAACAAAATTTAACTCATAATTATAAAATAAATATTTTAATATATAAAAATATTTAATTATAATTAATATAAACTTTAATTTATATTTAAATAATAAAAATAAAAAACTCTAACTCAATGGATCACACGAGAAAAGGTATAATAACTATTTTTAACTTTTATCTCACATTGTTTGCAAATATAGTCTAAGAACTCTACTATGCATATATAAACTAACACCATTAGATTATTTAACTCATGAAATTAATATATATTAAATTACATTATTGGTTCTTATAATTTTATTTTTTAAAATTATTTAAAATACATTTTATAATTTAACTCATGAAGATGTGTCTCATAAGATAAACTTTCCAACGTGGCGTCCAAATCCTACAAGGCGTGCCTACTGAAATGCTCATTTACCATTGTGGTGCCAACTCAGCAAAATTATTGGAAGGTGTATCTCATGAAACGCTCCTTTCCTACTATGGTGGATCGAGTTAGCAAAAATCTCTGTAAGACGTGTCTGCTGAAACGTGTCTTCGCTTGGTTCTGTCAAAAAAAAATGTTAGATTAAAAAATATTAGGGAATGAGTGTTAGAATGAGAATATTAAGATTTGAACGTATGTTTAATTAATAAGTTAATTAATTTTTTATTTTGATTTTTCTTCATGCTTTGTGATTCGGGTCTAATAATCCTAGATATTTATTGGCCCAATCATAATGTTACTGGTATAGCTACCGTCCATCATGGCTCATGATTAGTGGCAGTGTCCACCTGTCCCAATATCCATCAAATGGTTGATTAAACATCTTGGCTAAAGTTTGTGATTTTTTTCTTTTTCTTTAAATTGTTTTTAATTTGATAATTTAAAATTTAGGGACAAAATTAAGTTAAGAAGATTTCCCCCCTAATAATTATAAAATCCTATAAATCTCAAAATTAAATTCGAAATAATATTAAACTTTATAATTTTTAAAATTTTATATTAATAATAATGCAATTGTATAAGGACATGCTTAATAAATTGGGTAAATTACAAATTTCATCACTAAATTTTACTCTATCTTATTTTACTTACTGAATTTTAAAAGTTTTCAATTTCCTTACTGAACTAATTATATTTGATTTTTTGTCACTCGACCGTTAAATAATTAACTGCGTTA